CTAATAATTAAGGTTGAAAGAAATAAGGCAGGTTAAAGATGCCAGAGGAGAGGCACACGCACATGCGTTTGCTTTCCGAGGGCCGAGTGTCAGCAATTGCTCCTGTCAGCCCCGCAGCACAGCAGTTACTTCCAGGCTACGATGTGGTGAGTCTTGAGAGCACCGTGGTAAGATGGAAGTCAGCCACAAGACACCACTACTGGTGCCATTTCATCCGACCCTGCATGTGAGCCCATTCATGAAATGGCCAAAACAGGCAAATGGACAGGGGCAGAAAGCAGGTTAGTGCTTGCCTAGGGCTAGGAGAAGGTGGGGGATTGGGGCTAACCTGGCAGATACAAGGGTTCCTTTATGAAGTCATGAAAAATGCTCTGAAATTGATGGTAAATGGGTGTGCACCATCATGAGCATTCAAAAGTTACTGTAAATTGTATGGGGGGGGGGGGGGATGTGTGCTCAGATCTTTACAATTTTTTTCAATGAACAAAACGAAAAAGGGTCACACAACTTTGGGTACAATCATTGCAAACACTTGTTCCTAGAGCCCTGGGCCCTGTTTAGAGATCTGCCTTCCCTGAAGCCACCCGGGTGCACAGAGAGGCCACACTGTGTGAGAGTTACCACAGCCAAGACTGTAGCCCCTGGGTCTTTAAATCACCCCTGCCCTCTCAAGTCTTTTCTAAAGATGTCCCAAGCAAGGCGATCTGCACCACGCTGTCTAACCCCTGCCACCGAACCTGTGAGAACACAATGGTCTTCCCGTCCAGTTCTGTCTGTGAATTGCTAGCACTAATAGATAGCCATAGCCCCTCCCATGTTTTCCTCTCGGCTCCTCCTTAATCGCCCTGAATGTTAGGCTATCCAGCACCCCAGTCCCCAGGTCAGTCTATTCCTAAGTTCCTTCCCTGAGGCTGTAGAGCTTCAAACACCTTGCAAATGACCCCAATTTTCTGTCCTCAGACGGATCGGCCCTCTGCACAGCTGCTGACAATGGCAGGCAGGGTTTGGGAAGTGATGGACTTGTGTAGGGGGTTTCTTCAGTAGTGCTGAGCCAACTGAAAAGGTGGCTTCACGCCGACTCCGGCAGCCTGTCAGGCCCTTGACCTTCTGTAAAGTCACACAGCTGAAGCCAAGCATGGTGGTGTATATCTACAGCACTCGGAGCAAAGGCAAGAGGGTTGCTTCAGGACTGGGCTAGGTAGGGCTAGTGAGACCCTGGTTCTCACACACACACACACACACACACACACACACACACACACTCACACACACGGGCTAGTGAGACCCTGGTTCACACACACACACACACACACACACACACACTCACACACGGGCTAGTGAGACCCTGGTTCAAGGCAAGAGGTTTGCTTCGGGGCTGGGCTAGGCAGGGCTAGGCGGGGCTAGTGAGACCCTGGTTTACACATACACACACACACACACACACACACACACACACTCACACACACACACGGGCTAGTGAGACCCTGGTTCTCACACACACACACACACACACACACACACACACTCACACACACGGGCTAGTGAGACCCTGGTTCACACACACACACACACACACACACACCAGAGTTGAGTTTAGCCAACTTTGTGAATTGGAGGGCAGGAAATGTAAGCAGACAGGAGAACAGGAGAAGAGGAAAATACATTTGAGATAGTTAAACATAGAACCCAGGATCAAGTTAATGAATTATGAGATGACTCGGGGGCCCAGGAGATAGAGGCCACGGTGACAAAGATTAAAGATGAAAACAGTATAGAAAGAAAGAGACATAGTCACTGGGGAATGCTGTGCTCAGGACCTAGAAAATGGATTTAGGATGCTGTTGAGGGGGCGGGGGCTCAACCAGAGTTACTATGAGTGCAGGCGGCTGACATCATTTTCTCCCACCTTGCCCAAATCAGCTTCAAGGACCACAGGCTCTTCATTCTCAAACTGGTAAAGGCATTAACAAAACCGGCCAAGCCCGGTTGGCACTCAAAGGCTGTGTGCAGCCCTTGACACAGTTAAGTTCCTTCTTTGCGGCTTCTTTAGACATCCGAACTCTCCCCAGGCACCAGGTAGATAGAGGGGTGTGACTAGCGCCCGTGAAGCCGCTTACTATAGCCCTCGGAGGGGTTTCAACAGGATCGCAGGACCAGACATTATCTCTTTCTCACAACACACTCAAACCAAACGCTTTCACACAGATGTTTTCACCGCGTCGTTGTTCATTGGCGAATTCTGACAGAAGCCTCTAGGAGTCTGGGAATATACTTAATGCCATTTAATTTTACATCTAAAATGCTTAAAATAGTGAACTTTACGTAACGTATATTTTACTACCACGAAGTTATGAAAAATAGAGTAATAATACAAGGTTCCCACCCACAGAGCTCCTTATGAGTTCTGTCTTGACAACAGAAGAGAAGTTGGAAACGTTGCACACAAAACACGCGTGGAATCCACCTCCTCTGGCCAACACTCTCCCTGAACAGCATAGCAGTGTACTCACGATAGTGTGGCCGGGAGCTCTGTCTCTGGCAGATGCTATGCACTGCCACAGGTCAGGTTGCAGGTCCCTAAGCTAACACTTGAAGTAAAGCTTCTACTGAATGTTCATTACTTTTGCTACGTTGTGAACCAAACTCTCCTAGGCAGCGCATTATAAGAAGTTGTAAATGGATATCGCGGCGCACAGCTTTAATCCCAACATTCCACAGGCAGAGGCAGGTGGATCTTGGGAGCCTGAGGCCAGTCTAGTCTACAAAGTGAGTTTCAGACCAGACAGGACTACATAGAGAGTAGTCCTGTCTACTTTTGAAGAAGTAGTCTTCTTCAAAAAAGAAGAAAAGAAAAACAAAAGGGCTGGAGAGATGGCTCAGAGGTTAAGAGCACTGACTGCTCTTCCAAAGGTCCTGAGTTCAATTCCCAGCAACCTCATGGTGGCTCACAACCATCTGTAAGGAGATCTGGTGCCCTCTTCGGGCTTGCAGGCATACATGGAGGTTGAACACTGTGTACATAATAAATAAATCTTTTTTTAAAAAAAAAACAAGGAGAGAAAAAGAGAAAAACAAGACATAAAGAAAGACAGGAAAGTAATAGTAATAGTGTGGCCACCTAACTCTTCCCTGATTACCTCACCAAGTTCTTCACACTGACGGCAGGAAAAAATGATTACTTTAGCTGCAGCAAGGAAAACCAAGGCAACTTATCTTTAAAAATCATTAAAAATAAACAGAAGAATAGATATTGAAATGTAGACTATTATTTAGTCTTCCAAAAGACTGGAAAGTGTAGTATAAACCGCAGCGTGGACAGGCCTTGAAAACACTAAGATTCCACCTGCAGGAAGCAGAGTTCAATCTCAGCCATCACAGCGTGCAGTGTGGCTCAGAGGCTGAGGGGGTGGGGGTTGGGCAAGCAGATGCAGAGGTAGAGCTGGGGTAGAAGTGTTCTGGAAATGGGCAGCGGTGATGGGATCACAGTGTAAATACATGCCACTGAATGTATGCATGCTTAAAAATGTGTACAACAGTAGATTCTATGTAGGATGTATTTTACTTCACAAAAGTATGAAAAATAGGATAGCATTCCTAATAGAACTGCAGTCAGGAAAACTGTACCTCCACAAGAAACAATCGTGAGTCTAGGATGATTTGGGAAAGACACCAGGCTAGGAGGGAGGCTGTCTTGAGCACTCTCCCATGGGTCAGGGTGGAGTGAGCATTCAGGGATCACTGCCCCTGCTGGCTGCCGCAGGGACTGTACTTTAGACAGCCCTGCTCTACTACAGTAACAGCCTCTGCTAGGCATGGGAATTGCTTCTAGCCAACCATTCATGTTCCCTTTAGGCGCACACTATTGAGCCTGCTCCACCGCAGCCCAGACCCAGAAGGTTCAGTGGCTTTTGTTTGTTTTCAGACAGAATCTCATGTCATAGCTCTGGCTGTCCTGGAACTCATGCAGACCAGGATGAATAAGAATTCACAGAGATCCACCTGCCTCTGCCTCCCAAGTGCTGGGATTAAAGGGGTGCACCACCATGCCTGACTCTAGAAGATATTCATTACATAGCTATGGAATGCAGAGGAAAGTTTAAATTATTTATAAAATGAAGAACAGATTTTTCTTGCAAGTATTGTACGTGAATGGAAGGAAATGCTATTCAAAAGTGGTGACACAGACTAGAGAGATAGCTCAGTGGTTAAGAGCAATGGTTGCTCTTCCAGAGGTCCTGAGTTCAATTTCCAGCAGCCACATGGTGGCTCACAACCATCTACAACAGGATCTGATGCTCTCTTCTGGCATCAGTGGAAACAAAGCACTCATACCTAAAAATAATACATAAATCAATAAATTTAGCTGGTGGTAGTGAAGCACCCCTTTAATCCCAGCACTCAAAGGCAAAGGCAGTCAGATCTCTGTGAGTTCAAGGCCAGTCTGGTCTACAGAATGAGTTCCAGAACAGCCAGGGCTGCACAGAGAGACCCTGCCTCAAAAAACCATAGATAAATAGAAAGATAAATGGATGGATTAGATAGACAGACAGACAGACAGGCAGGCAGACAGACAGACAGACAGCAGGTGTCTACACAGAAAGGTTACAGAATAGGGTTTAGCATACCCCTAGGAGTCTTGGCTTACTTAGTGTGACCCACTTTCCCAGGAAGCTCCAATTTCCCTTTCTGTTCTTAGTTACCTTGGAAAGAATGTTAAGGGTGGGGGTGGGGTGGGAATGTCCATCGAGTTCAGAGCTTACAAAGTGTAAGGAGGAATATGGGATACTGGGTTTATTTGGGATAGAAAATGGTAGGAAAAGGAAAAAAAAGTTATTTGCTCGGTTTTTGTTTTTCTTTCTGGCTCTGTCCCTCTAGAAGACAACATCTGGGGAGATTTGTCGTGGAGGAAGAAATGTGAGCAAGGCAGTGAGGGCCCCACTGCCCTTCCTGGGCAGAGCACAGTCTGCTAATCTAATCACAGCTGACAACAGAGCCCATAATTGAATGATCCATGAGATTTTATTATCCAGGTATTATGTGTCTGCCTCCTGGAGATGAGAACCATCTAATCCATGACGCACGGGAACAATCAGAGCTGAGCCTTGTTTATGACTTCAGAACCTATGTGGAAAAGTTAAGACATAGATTTATGTAACTCTAATAAGGAAAATTTGAAACCAAACGAATATTTATAAAAACGTATTTCAGAGACAGTGGAAGGTAAAAAGTCCCTTCCAAACACTTTGCGAATTGGGAGACATATAACTACTTTAAGCAGACTTCAGTCTTCTGACTTCACTCCAGGTTACATGAAAGGAAAAGCAGTCATCCGCCCTAAAACTTGCGTCTCCTGCAATGTCAGCGGATGGATTTGCAGAGTGATTTTCCACATCCACATTACATGAAATCTTCTAGCTGGCAAAAGCCAGATGTTTGCATTCTTCTCAAGAGCTGGGTACGAAGACAGCACTCCAGGGCTCGCCATGCTGAGCAGGAAGAACGTCACATCATCCACAGTGTACAAGTATGAAGGAGAACAGCATTCTCTCTGGCCGTCACGGCTGCAGATTCTGTGTTATGACTGACCCTAAGGACACAAGGTTCTGCACACGCTCCGGCTAGGATGGTTCAGGAGGTTTCCAGCACGTCCTTGTCTGGCTCTTTCTGACTGCAGAGCGCAAAGGATTCCCGCACAAACTGCCGGCACATGGGGCACTGCTTGAAGTAGCACACACAGCTGTCACACAGGCAGGCATGCCGGCAAGGCAGCAGCACCCAGTTCACGCCCCCGTTCTGGCACACCACACAGTCCTTGCTGCTCTCCTCCACTGGCTCCATGTCACTCCCAGCCAGTCCTGCCTTCTCCAACAAGCTCTGCTCGGCATTTCTGTCTGCTGGGGAGGGCCTGCTGGAGGGACTGGGGCTGCTGTTTGCAGACATGAAAAGTTGCTGAAAAGCAAAGAAACCAGTGTGAAGGCGGCTGTGAACTCTATGAAGCCGGGCTCACAAAAGACTGAAGATTCCTAAGCTAGCAAACCCAACAGGCAAGAGTAGTTAACTTCTATATTCTATAGCTAATGAGAAACCATAGTTCTCTTTACAGACAGCCATTCCTCCAACTCTAAAATCAACAAACACTACCTTGTAGGACTTACCTTAAGATCATAAAATTGACCTTGAGCCAGAAGTAAATATTGATACAATATTCTGCAGGGAAGTTTGTAAGTCTTATCAGGAATATGAATTACTGACACCATGGAAATCTAAAATAAAAATTGGACATAAGTCAGTACTTAAAACTATTTCACAGAGAAGTGAAAAAAACAACTGCTTCTCAAACAAGAGATATATTAGAATGTTTACACTAATTTATATAAATCACAGCACTGAAAGGAACCATCACTGACAGATTATTGACACACATTAATTATAATGAAGTTTACAGATTCATTGTGGTCCCAATAAAATCAGTGTAGAAGCTATGTACACTGATTTGAAAAATACTGACATAGAAAAAGGAACATATAAGAAGAGGTAGGAAGGCACTCAATAGTCCAGAGCAGTCTAACCTCATTAAATATTAAATCGTATTGAACTGATTCATAAGTAGATGAATGGAAGAGACAGAAGAAACAGTACAGGAAAAAATAATAAAAAACAAAACAAAACAATTACTTATGTGCAAAAATACAAAGAAGGTGTCATCTTGAAACACAAGGCACAGGGAAGTTTTGTTTATTTTCTTTAAATAAATAATTTAGGGACAACTGGATAACAATTTGGAAAAATGTGTAACTGGATGATTGTCTCATATGGCACACATGTGACACCATGTAACCAATGTGTCTCATATGGCACACACATGACACCATGCAACTGGATGATTGTCTCATATGGCACGCACGTGACACCATGTAACTGTGTCTCATATGGCGCATGTGTGACACCATGTACCTGGATGACTGTCTCATACGGCACACGCGTGACACCATGTAACTGATGACTGTCTCATACGGCACACACGTGACATCATGTACCTGGATGACTGTCTCATATGGCACATTTGTGATACCAGGGCTGGGGAAGAGCACACAGATGGATCCTGGGAGTTTGCAGGCTAGTCTAGCCAATCAGCGAGCTCTGTTCAGTGGAACACCCAACCTCAAAAGCATAACATGCAGAGCAACTGAGGAAGACACCTGATGCTGACCTCTGACCTCCACAGGACATGCCCACATGCACACACTCGTTAACACACTCAAACAAGTGGAAAGTGACTGAAGAGGATGCTCAGCGCTGATCTCTGGACACACACACACACACACACACACACACACAGGTATACTTGGTTGTTTCTCACACACTGGCCTGAGACATGTGCCCTGTGCAGAAACTCTGAGATGGCGGGGAGGGCAGAGGGTGGGAGAATTCAGTTCAGGGTATTGGCATGATCTAACTTATACTTCAACTACAGCACAGTGTAAGCAGTACATGCACAGGTTACTCAGGATAAGTCAGTTACACTGGGAACTCCCCTACCATGCAAGCACAGGAGACTAAGTAACTACGGTACACACTCACACACACACTCTGCATATAACAGAGTGTGATGCCAGCCAGAATCACCAACACCACCAACTGCTGAAATCCTGAAAGCTCAAAGACCCTAAAGTCTAAAGCTCCCAAAGATGGAAACCTAGAAATTATAAGCCCAAAAGCTTAAAAATTCTGAATGCTAAAATCCCTTGAAAAATTAAAATGAGGGAACTAGAGAGCCAAATCTTTGGGATGGGTTAGTGTGCCCTCACTTGTATATAGTACAATTACAAAGTGATTAAAAATATCATGTATTCTGCCTGCTCTACAGAGTGAGTTCCAGAAAAGACTCCAAAGCTACACAGTAAAACCCTGTCTTGAAAAAAAAAATAACAAACTAACAAGTCACATATTCCTCTTGCCCTGTCATGCATAGTACTAGAGCTCCCTCCACGGAATTAAAATAAAAAAAGAAGAAAAGAAAAAGCTTAGGGATCTTCTGAACTAAAGACACCTGCTCACACTACGATACCTCCAGTTCACAAACAGTAGATAGTGAACTAGCTTTAGCTAGACATTTGTAAGTCAAACTTATCACAAAATTGAGCACAAGAAACTAATGAGTGTCTCACTTTTGATTAGCAAAGGCACCGTCAAAGTGGTCTCCACTGTTCTGTTTATCCAGTATATGCCATTCATGCCCCTGGAGCACCAGAAATTTTAGAAACTTATCCATTTATGTGTTATTGACTGGAAAAAGCAAAGTGTTTTTATAAATGCTCATCAGAAGATGTGGTGGCCTTCACAAAATAAAATGAATCAATTGAACTGCCACATAATGATGACACTGGGAACTAGATAGGCTCAAGCTTCTGGAAGCAAACTGCAAAGGGTTACCAATAAAATGTTTTATTTTCCACTCAACCAATGCACTTGGTGGAAATTAGACCGTACATCTATTTGCCAACTATACAGAAAGGATGCAAATTTCAGGTTAGGAGCATCATTGCCAGCTCAGCACTCCTTCCGGGTGGTGAAATTCCAGAAGTGCTCAAAGAATCAAAGTCACATTTGCCAGCCAGGGAAGTGATAGACTGGTCTGAAAACATTTGTAAGTACAGTAGCAGGAGACAAACAACAGTGCTACCTGAGAACCAGCTTTATTTTCACCAAATGTGTATTTATCTGAGGTATACAATAGCATGTGCTGATATGGAATGCATAGTAAAATGGTCATTACAGTCACGCAAATTAATACACCCATTACTTTACAATGATTCTCCCTCTCTGTGGCAAGAACACCACATTCTCTTCCAAAATATTCTGAATATCACCAACTCTAGCCTTCATATTAGGTACCACACCTGTAGCTTTATAGCGGGGACCTACACGTCTCCATTCCTCCCCCTCTGGCTCTATTAATCAAGAAAAAAAAAAGCAAAGAAAAAGGTTTCAGTTTGATTTTAAAAAATAAGATTTGAAGCCAGTCATGGTGGTGCACGCCTTTAGTCCCAGCACCCAGGAGTCAGAGGCAGGTGGATTGTTTGAGATCAGCCTGGTCTGCATAGTTTCAAGACAGCTATAGCTACATTGTGAGACCCTGTCTCAAAACAAACAAACAAACAATATAAATAAATAAATAAAATGAAATTTGAGATACTTATCTGCAAATAACGAGTTATATTTTCCAGTAAGAGTCTGTACCTTTCAAAATTCAACACACACTATTTCATAAAGATACTCTGCTTTTTTGTTTTTGTTTTTGCTTTTTTGAGACAAGGTTTCACTGTGTAGCCCTGGCCATCCTGGAACTCACTATGTAGACCAGGCTGGTCTTGAACTCACAGAGATCCACCTGCCTCTGCCTCCCAAGCGCTGGGAGTAAAGGTGTGCGCCACCAGTGCCCAGCAATACTCTGCTTTTTACAAAAGGGTAAAAGTAGGGACCCAGCTCAATGGTAGAGCACTTGCCTATCACAGATGAGGCCTCGAGTCTGACCCCAGCACTGGGGGGAGAGTAGGGCTGGGGTTCTCTCTACTCTGCTTTAGTCTAATAAAGACCTTTGTGCTAACACCCTAGGCTGCTGCTGAAAGGAAACCACAGGCTCATGTTAGTGAATATATTTTGCACATTATACACAAAAGTATAATTAAAATGTCACTGTATCTTTAATAATGAGCAAATACAAGCACCCGGTTTATCTGTCTGTAGCCCTGGCTGCTCTAGAACTTGTTCTGTAATCGAGGCTGGACTCAAACTCACAGATCTGCCTGTCTCTGCCTCCCAAGTGCTGTACTAAAGGTGTGCACCATCATACCTGCAGTTGCCAAAAGAGTTCACCAAAAGTTTGTTAGAGATATGGGCTAAGTTTCTCTGATTAGAAATGCTTAGAAGTAAAAGTGGTCCAGATTTTAGATTTTTCAGATTTGGGTATATTTGCATATACACAATGAGCTATCCTAGAGAAGGAGATGAGCCCCAAGTCTAACCAGGAAATTAATTTGTGCTTTAAGACAATTTATAAACATGGCCTGAAGATAATTTTCAAAAGCATGTTTGGTACACACACTTAACTGTGGCTGGTGAGTGGGGACGGGTTAGTTTCCTGCATGTAGCATGTCTCAGTTTTCAGAGCAGGAAGCTCAACCTATGTGCGTTTCCATCTCACATAGAGGGTGGAGACTCGGAGCCTCTCTGATCTCTTAGATGCTTTTATGCTCCAAACAGGGAACGAACTACCAGTCTAAAGAATCAGTACATAGGGTTGGAGAGATGGCTCAGTGGTTAAGAGCATTGACTGCGCTTCCAGAGGTCCTGAGTTCAATTCCCAGCAACCACATAGTGGCTCACAACCATCTGTAATGAGGTATGGTGCCCTCTTATGGTGTGCAGGCATACATGCAGACAGAACACTATCTATATAATAAACATTTTTTAAAAATCAGTACATAGTGAGAAAACAAGACTCTCATATGACTGAACATAGAGATCCCAAGTGGACAGCACAGGCTTCACAAGGAATCCGACGGACACTGGTGACTTAACTATGGCCCGAGAAGAACAGACCTGGTCATAAAGTCAGGCACTTCCGGTCATAGCGATCCTGATCAACTCAGTCATAAACTGTGAAGAACATACACGTAGCCCAAAGGACATTTTCTCTAAAGCAAATATTACCTAACAGGGAGGACAAAATTAACTTAATTCAACAATAATCTATCTTTTATTTTATAAATAAGCCCCTGTAGTTGTCATCTACAGGGAGTGGGGGTGTGGGGGATCACCATAGTCTGAAGGTGTGTTATAGGTACAAAAATTAAACAGGGACAAACCCATATTTTAATTTTTTAAGACATGTATGTCCAAGACCAAATATATGTTTTCAGAAATTACTTTTTTCCTATCTCAGAAATAATTAAGAATCACCCAAAATCTTGTAAAGGTAAAGTGTTCCAGATGCTCCAGTTACTTACAATATCATAAATTTCCCGATCCTCCTCGTCAGCGAGGGTCAACAGAGCTACCAATGGATAACGAGATCTGGGCACTGGACCAAAGTCGTCAATTTCAGTACCGCTCGGTAATTGGCAATATAGTTCTTCTTTGCTGTGTTTTTTAATACTTTTGAATATGTAAAGGCAAATTGCCAAAAGAAGAAACATATCTTAAAGAGTCAATAACTTGGTAACATTTTACTGTATCCAGTCTCACTTTCTGTGCAGCGGGAGCCCCTGCGAAAAGGATACAAGTACTGCTCTCGGTGGAGGTAGTCACTGTACAGCGCCTCTTCTAATGCTTGCGGGGTGCTTATCCTGAAGCAGTACACGTGCTTCTGAAGGGCTTCGTGGAGCTTTTGGACACTGCACCCCCAGAAGCATGTAAGACGGCTATCTTCAAGGCAATCTGTCGTCAAGGTCATGCCAGCTGCAGAGAATAATCCAGAAAGAGATGGGTGTCACTAATATAATAATAACAAGGGGTAAGAAACAGGCTTTGTTCTGGGTGGTGGCCAAGCTGACGTCAGTTTTTAAATGTTGTTGAAGGACATGTATCTACAAATATAAAAATGTCAATAGCTATGCAGAATTTGAGCAATATAGCAAAGCTTTATTATTATAGTTTATCTTTAGAATGACTGGCCCAATTTTCCTTTTGGTAACTCTAACCGCCTCTTTCCAACAATACATGCAATCATTGTGTGATCAGCACAAGGGTCACACAGGAGAGCAGAACCATCTGAAATGGGTATACATAAACCATGGGGTGGGATGGCAGTAACTGAAGGGAAACACTAAGAAGCAGCTGAGCTTTATTATTAACACACACAAAGGCAGCGTTAATGTCCATTACACAGCAGTGTTCCACGGAATATGAAACAGCCCAAGGACCGCCTAGGGATGCCAACCATGGAGTCTTATAGCAATACTCTTGTTTTCTCCTTGCTTTCAAAGAAGGGAGGTGACAGTGTCAGTGGACTTGTAAGAGGATCACTAAGCGACACACAATTGTACGTGTTGTTTCACGGATGGACTTTATGCTTACACGGTACTTTAAGTGCTATCAATATGATTCTTTTCCTCTCCTTATTAGTGGCAGTTGAAGCATACCAAGTTCAAGTGGCAAGACTTGTAGGGTCTCCTACTGTCTGGAGGGAAACTACCACAGCCGTGTTCAGAGGCGGGATATGTTTGACTAGAACCTACATGCAGTCTGGGTCACTGCTCCTGGTGCAGCAGCTTAGCTTCCGAACCTGGCCTGGGTCCACCAGCAACTCTGCAGGGCTCAGGGTGCCTTTATTGAAGATTTTTCTGCTGCTTGTAACAGGAAGGTGACTGATTTCTCACCTGTTTTAAACATGTGATCAAGAGAAGATGCTGTGAGAAGATCACAAATTCAAGCAGCCGCTTCACAGGATGACCAAGACGGCCCCCTGCCCCTCCTCTGCCTTGCTGATATGTGTACAGCAGCGACCCAAGACCACAGTGAGTTCATCAGGCGCAAATTTTAATTAGCAAGAATTCTGCATAGACAACTGGAATGAAATTCCAGTTCAAATATATTTATTTGATTTCAACCAGGTATTAATTCACTGCCAATCGAAAAGTAATCACACTTTCATGTGTCACTAGAACTAGCGCTAGAAGGTAACGGAGAGGAGCACAGCGTCCGCAGAATCTCCTCCACTCTCTCATAACCTCGGCCATCGCAGAGACACCACCTGACGACAGGTCAGCCACTTCTCTGTAGAACCACTCTCCCCTTTCCCCACTTCTCCTGCAGGGGGTTCCCCCTTTCACACATGCTTGTTCCTCCAAATTGCAATGCATACACACAACTGTTTCCATTACTATCACTAACAAAGCTGGGCAGTTGTGAATCAGAAAGGTCAAAGCCAAGTGGGTACGACTTCTTTCAACTGTCTTCATCCAGCACAGCTTCGCTAGGCTAACAGCATAAAGCACCGGAGACATCCCTGGTCTGAGCCATTTAATAAGAGCAACACGGGGCAGGAAAGCCATCCTGTTGCTGTGACACCATGCATGAAGATGATGAGACAGGAGAGGTAAGTTTCCTGGAGAGGAAGGTTCAGGATGCAGGAAGTGGAGGTTGGCAAACCACTCTCCAAATGCTAATGTGTGTTTTCCCTAAGTCTTTTGTTTTATGTTAGCTCTTATTGGATCTGTTAAAACAGAGTGGGCTGGAGTAGGAGGGTTACTTCCAAAGTCTTCCTGAAGCAAATTCATCCAATTCAACTAATAGATACTGAATATCTAACTTATAGTTTAATTAAAGCCTTCATCTAGGGACACGAATTGAACAAAAATCCAAACACAACACTGTTATACAATAACAAAATCTCAGCAGCCTGTTCTAGCAAACCAATTGGCGAGCCTCTCATTTGTTGCCAAGTTACACCACATCCGTAGGTTTGGTCTCTCTCCTGTGCAATCTGTCAGGTACTTGGGATGGAGTGGTGAGAAAAAAAAAATCTGAATTATTAAACTATCTGGGCATGAAAGAAAATAACCTTAAAACCACTATATAGACATCTTAAGACATCTACCTTTCCATGGGCTTTGATCTTGTAACTTCCACTAAAATCCTTTATTCCCACAGAACACAAAGAAGAAATGATTTTTTTAAGTGAGTTCTGTTAGGAGCTGACTCTCAGTGAACACATTCACTTTTCCATCAGTGGAGAGCGTGGGACCAGGGCAGGCTGAGAGCTCCCCTGACTGGCTGTCTTTCATTTGCTCAGACACTGGCAGTCGGCTCTCCTTGAAACTGCTTCTGCCTGAGTGCTGAGGTGACTTCCTCAGTTCTAGCTCCAGAGGAGCGTGCTTCCTCACAGTGCCACCAGCTCCTCTCCCTTCTCAGTGGACTTGCAGATTTGAGGACTGCATGGCAGGAGACACGGCCGATTGGTTTACTAAAGGCAGTCCTTACCTAAGAACCACATGAGACTTTGTAGTGCATTAAAATCTAAAGCTGCTGAGGGGTGGGGGTGGAATTAAACCTTCACTATATAGTCTAATCAGGAATGTACGACCTACTGTTGTGCTTTTTTTGTTGTTGTTTGTTTTTGTTTTTTCAAGACAGGGTTTCTCTGTAGCTTTGGAGCCTGTCCTGGAACTAGCTCTTGTAGACCAGGCTGGCCTCGGACTTACAGAGATCCAGCTGCTTCTGCCTCCTGAATGCTGGGATTAAAGGTGTGCACCACCACATCCCAGAGAGGTAGTTTCTTTATGTCATATCTTAAAATTTATTTTTCTAAAATAAAAAAAAAAGTCAGAATAAACACTTACATACTCTTGAGGGGAAAGGATCTTCATTTCCTTCCGTTTATAGGGTGGTATTATTTATAATTAAGGAGAAAGAATAAGGAATTACATACTTTTTAAGAACTGTAAGTCAAGATTTACCAGCTGAGGCCCACTTGGGGTATATTATGAATTCCAGACCAACCTGCAAGAGCCTGTGAAACAAACAAACAAAGGAGTCGACTCAGACGATGGCCCATGCTGACTAAGGAACCGGTTTCCTGTCAGGGGACAAGTTTTGGGAGTGACAGGCATGAGACTGACTAGAATGGTCCACAAGGCACGCTGTGAAGAAGGAAGCTCAGCTCTGGAGGTGAGTGTGCTCTCCAGTCCAGGACTTGCGCTACAGCACCGCAAGTGGGACGCAGAGGTGGCAACCAGTGACCTTGGCAACAGCCACTTCAGTAGAGCCACCGAGGGGAAGAAAACGACGTTGTTCAGAGAGTAAAAGGGAAGAGGGAGCAAATTTCATAAATCGTGTGTGCACCCGTGCCTACAAACGGCTTTTCAAGGTGAATGTTGAGAATCTTCCTCAGGAACCTCTACCTTCTTCACTGAGGCAGGATCTCTCAAACCCAGAACTCACATACGTCTAGTCTTGCTGGCCAGCTTGCTCTGGAACCCCATCTCCACCTTCTGGAGCTGGAGTTACAGATGGGCCACCACACCTTCCTGACATTTTGTGGGAGCCTGGGGATCTGAATTCTGTTCCTCACACTTGTATGTCCCTGGCCCAAATTTGAAGTTTTTATGTTTGTTTGTTTCTGGTTTTCACAGTTTTGAAGAAAAGAAAATGAAGTAGTAGCAAGAATAAGGTGAAAAGCTAAAAAGATTAGGGTTTCTGTTAAGATTTGAAAGGTGTCAGGAGCAGGCACCTTTACCCAGATTCTGGGGCTGCTTCTGCTCCATCTCCACTGAACGTCACAAAAGCATCTCAAAGCCCACAGGCACAAACCTGAATTCAATACTTTTCCTCCCAACCTGCCATTCCTCCGGTTTTATCCCTGTAAAGGAGCTGTTTCTGGAACCCATGTCAAGTCTTCTAGACTCTTCTCTCTTACCTACCGTCTTAGTTTCCTTCCCTGTCAGAGTGCCCTGATAATAGCAACTTTAGGAACAACGCCGGCTACAGTACAAAGGTGCAGCCATCATGGTAGGAAGTCAAGGCAGCAGGAAGTTGGAGCATCTGGTCACATGACACCCACATCAGAAACAGGGCAGCAAATGTGTGCCCTGCTTACTTCTCTTTGTCTGTACATATCTTAGGGCCAAGGATCAAGGCCAAGCATAATGTGCAGTCTTCTCAATTACCACAGTCAAGATAACCCCACAGGCATGCCCAGAGGCCCGTTCCCCAAGTCATTCTGGATTCTGTCCAGTTGACAGTTAGCACAGATCACCACACCGCCCTGCCCTGTCTTGGAGCCACAAACGGCCTCTTGGTTCTCTCCTGCTCTGTATTCCTCACTTACTTGGGTGCTCTGCTCTCATTCCATCTAGAAGTTTCCTCAAACCCCCAGCAATCACCTACTTACCTTTCAATCAAGACTATTAGGGAATGGGGAGAAGGGGGACAGGAGTGTCTACACACTCTTCTCTACAAGACTTCCTAAACATCTCTACTGCAGCAAATGCAACGCTTTTGCCTTTATAATTCAACTCAGTGGCTCCTAAGTAGACCTAACAAACACAGAAACAAACCTGCCAACTGTAATTATCACATCAAAAATAACATATTATAGCCAGGCATGGTATCACTCGTCTTTAATCCCAGCACTTAGGAGGCAGAGACAGGTGGATTCCTGAGTTCAAGGCCAGCCTGGCAGCCTGGCCTAGAGAGTGAGCACCAGAACAGTAAGGGGCCAGGTCTACACAGAGAAACCCTGTCTTGAAAAAAATGAAAACCAAACAAACAAATCCCATATTATATGAAAATATTGTATACTAAAATATAATAATATCAGACTAAAAAATCAATTGTTTTTAAAAAGGTGAGCAACCTCAAACTTAATGTTCAGACACATTTTATCACTTTTTATTTCACTGAAGACCACAAATGTGGGGCTATGTCTTAACAAACCTGTTTACTGCCCTGAAATGCTGCATTCTGCTCCTTCCGCACACATGTCTCTATTACTGGATAAACACTCCCAGGAGAAAGCTTATGAACTTTAATCTTTACACTGCAACATGCAGTTCAGTGAATGGTGACGTTGAATGAAGAGAAAGCAATAGAGAAAGAAAACAGAAGGGTTAATGACAGGGGACTAGAGATCAAGGAAAGCTTTGGAAAAGCCACCAACCTGCTAGGGAAGCTGAGGACGAGTTAGTGATCTCTAAGCCAAAAGGGTTCTTGACTTGTCTCATTTGTTTCTTGAAAGTTCTTGTGCTGAGCTGGGTCTCTTCTGAATTCCTCAGAATCACCGGAACATCCCAACCAAACCTATAGAAAGGAAAACATAAAACACAGCTTCAACAAATCTGAAATTCTGGCCACGTAAAGTTTTCAACGCTGAGACTTTGTCATTGATGTTCTCTTTTGGTTTGTTAGTTAGTTTGTTTTGGTTTGCATTTTGGGCTTTTTGTTGTTGTTGTTTAAATTTTATTTTATTGGGGGGGGTTTCAAGGGCAGAGGGTGACTATGAAGGGTCACGGGGAGATGGACAGGGCAGGGAGAGCAATGTGAAATCCACAAAGAATAAATTTAAAAAATCTTTTTTTAAAAAAAGTACATTAGGCTTCATTACATATTCCTTCTGAAAATAAGAACCAGGAAAGAAGACTCAGTCGCTTATTTTTTGTTGTCTTGCAGAACCAATCTAGAGGTTCTGCAAGACAACAAATCTTGAGGGAGGTCAGAGGTCTCGCAGAATTGCACTGTATCATTTGACTGAATAAAATCAGCATGCTCCCGAAAATAAGCAGCTCTTTCCTTTGAATTGTGGGTAACAATGTGAGAGCTCAGTGATTATAGGTGAATTATACTTAGAATAAATAACATGGCCATTATTGAACCAAATACTCAAAAGATATAAAAAACAAATGTTTACTCAATATACAGACTATGTTATGAGTTATAAGGCCTGGGAACTATCAAAATATCAAACAGTCGTTTAGAATTTCTAAAATAACAAAGCAAAATGTCAAATACAGGCTTTCATTCACATAATGTCTTTTAAAGGTCAAAGGCACTATGCAAGAGCAGGAACTGCGACAATCCACACACAACAAGCTTCCAAACAAAGAAACCAAATGAAATATCTAGTAAAATTACAAACCAGGCAAGTTTACTCAGCCTAAACAGAGTGCCCTAAAATAAATCCACAGTTGGTGCTCAGTTAGAACCTCCAGCTCTTTTCTGCACAATCTGAGAATCCCCATTCCGCCCCCACACACACACACACGCTCCAAATCCGACCCTCTCAGAGAATCTCCAACAAAGGAAAGGTACCAAAAGGCCCAGTTCCACCTTTTAGAAGTTGCTGCAGCAGCTCCTCCCATGAAGGTGCCTAAAGCAGTCAGCTTTTGTCCACACTTGGGCACAACCCCAGCTTGTAGCTGACAGGTCATCACCCTCACCTACAGGGTGTATAACTTTCATGCTTTAGTTCAGCGTGCTTGACTTCTCAGGCTTCGATCTCTGGGACTGGAGACCTCACCCAGGAGTTGCTTTGCAAATAAATCTGTTTTTTTACTTTTTCAATTCGACTTGATCTAGCTTACTACATTGGCAGAGAAACCTATTATCTGACTACAGAAAACCTATTCGTTGGACCACTGGACTTCACCCAGAGTGCCCTAACATGTTTCAACAGCTGAATCAGTGGACTTCAGCTATGTTCATACTCTGATTACATCCTTCTCTCCAAATAGACAGCACTGACAGGGAAGAAAAAAAGAAACAGAAAAGAGTCTGCGAAAACAAGTTGACAAACTGGCATAGTCCAGGGAGAGTGCATTCATAGCACTGAAAAGAGACAGGTACATTGCTATAACTATGTGGATAACTTTCAAAATATAAAGGCTGGAGAGATGGCTCAGCAGTTAAGAGCGCTGGCTGCTCTTCCTGAGGGCCTGTGGTTCAATTCTCAGCATCCCCATGGCAGCTCATAACTGTCTGTAAGGGCTCCAACAGTCTTTTCTGACCTCTGTGGGCACCAGGCAAACAAACGGCACACATACATATAGACATGCAAAACATCCACACAAAAAATTCTCAAAAATATATCAAAAGAGATACAGTATGATTATGTAATATGAAACCCTAAAAGAGGCTAAACTAACCTATGAAATAAGAAGAGCAAGGTTGTTTCTGAGTGTATAGAGCAGGGGTTCCTGGGCAAGTGCCTGAAGAACCTATCAGTGTGTGGTGCTCAATTTGGGATTGTCTAGATGTATTTGGTAACACGGGACAATTAGCATCTTCAGATCTGTACATTCCACTGAAGGTAAACATCACTTCACTAGCACTTGGGAGACAGAAAGAAGCAGGCAGATCTCAGAATTCAAGGCCAGCCTGGTATACAGAGTTTTAGGACAGGCCATTTGGGGGTGGGGGGACCATCTTGATAAAACAAAAACAAACAAACAAAAATCCCAGAGGGGTTAGGTCACTGGGGAGTGGGAAGACAGCTCAGTGGGTAAAGAGCTGAGTGAGGGCCTGAGCTAGAATCCATGTAAAGCTGCCGTGGGAGTGTGTATCTGTGCAGTGCTCCAACAGTAAGACAGCGAGGAGACAGGAGAATCCCCAGAAGCCTGCGGTGCAACTAGACTGGCAGAAGCAGTGGAACAAAGAGATCCTGTCTCAAACAGGACAGAAGCGGAGGACTCCCTGGAAGAGGCTGCCTTTTACTTTCAGGTGCACACTGTGGAACATGCATATGCACACATGCATGCACACATGCACACACACACATGCACACATGTATACACGCACAGGGAGGCACTGAACATACAAAATTAAAAAGAACTATAAACAAAACACTGAGCTGCTGTAGAACAATCTTTTTGTACACTATGAATATGCATTACTCTCATTTGCTAATAAAAAGCTGATTGGCAGATAGCTAGTCAGAAGGACACTGACCTTGAGAATCAGACTAAGAGAATTCTGGGAAGAGGAAGGGTGGAGTTAGATAGTTGCAGCAACTGCAGAGAAGCAAAATGACGCTGCTAAACAGAGAAAAGGCACCAAGGCATGTGGCAAACCATAGACAAGAATTATGTGTTAATTTCAGTGTAAGCGTTAGCTAGTAACACGCATGAAGCCTGAGCTGAGCACTTATAACTCACATCCAGCATCTGAGCTGGTTATTGGGACCCAGAAGTTGGGACAGGAAACACCGATTACATGGAACTTCAGCTGGTGATAGTCATATCCTAGAACTTCGGGGTGAAGAAAACAATTTACTTTGATGTACAGCCTGGAATAAGATGAACACATGATTGTAGAGTAAGAAGGGATGAATAGGCAGATATGCAGTGTAATAAATGTTGATGGTAGAATCTAATTATGTATGTTGTCTATGTTATTTTCTCCTGTGTCCTGAATGTTTGAAAATCCATATAATAAAAAGTTGGAGAAAAGGAGATCTAGCTGGGTTTCAAGGCAACTATTTTTAGGGAGAATGCACTGGACAAGGCTACTGGGATGGACTGATGGGATCTATGCCTGGAGCAGTGCTAAGAAACTAAGCCTACAAAGGCCAGCATGGGCCAGGCATGCAATGCAAGGCTTAGGACAAGGCTCACACTGAGAGCGGGTTGGGTCACTGTCAGTCTGCAACAGTGTCATTGCAATCCCTTGTCCTAGGCTGGATGTCTAAACATCTAGCAATAGATAATTATAAAATAGTAAAACAGTAAAGGTAAGAAGAGAAAAAAACCCTTCCACTAATATTTAGATGGTAAACTAAAATTTCATAATAAACTATCAATCTCGTGACAAAGGGAAGCCAATAAAATTAACAAGCAGAATAGACAGTTACTTAAGATGATGGACCTGATTTTACTGAAGTTAGATGAGGCTTCTGTGGTCCAGCCAAGGAAGAGGAAAAGTAAGCCTCTAGTAGATCAAACTGTTTCTAAGGAAATTAACTGACCCAGTACAAAGCTTAGGAATAATGCAAGAATGTATAAGATAATGGCCCAACAATCCCTGAGGAAAATTTATGTTTCCAATGTTTATTGTGCTTTAAAAAGTTAATTGGCATGTAAAGAAGCAGAAAATATTAACCATAAAGAGGAGATAAATGAATCTATAGAAAAGTATAAAAGTGTTAAAGATGTCAGGATCTTTCTTTTTATACAAGGTGATCTACTAAGCTGGCCTCGAACTCACAGAGATCCACCTGCCTCTGCCTCCTGAGTGCTGGGATTAAAGGCATACACTGCCACTGCCTGGCTTCAAGCTGATAATTTTTATCTTTTAACTGGGAACATTTCCATAATTGTCATGACTGTATTCTATGCACTCAAGAATGCTAATGAGATTAAAAACTGTACAGACGTAGAAAACAGTTTAAAACACTCAAATCAGGTGCTGGAGAGATGGCTCAGCAGTTAAGAGCACTGACTCTTCTTCCAGAGGTCCTGAGTTCAATTCCCAGCAACCACATGGTGGCTCACAACCATCTATAATGAGATCTGGTGCCCTCTTCTGGGGTGCAGGTACACATGCAGGCAGAATACTGTATACATAATAAATAAATCTTTAAAAAAAACACTCAAAAAAATAAAATAAAATAAAAAAAACACTCAAATCAGTTTTTACAGATGACCAAGGCAATGTCTGAGGTAAAGAATATGCTGATCAGGCTTTACAACAGATCAGACACTGAAGAATGGAAGAGGAAGCCATGTGAAGACACTATGATAAAAATGCCCCCAGACAAGGGCTAGGAGTGTGCCTTGGGGTATACTGCCCACCAAGAATGAGGCTGTAGCCTCAATTCCCAGGAAAACACAGACAGAGACAGAGAGAGAAAAAGGCAGAGTCTCTGTCTCTCAAAATAAAACAGAAAGAGAAAAGAAAATTGAACAAAAATGAAACATCCAACTGACAAGTGTAACCAATATCTACAAGATACAAAGTATCTTTAAAATGTTAAGTGAAAATTAAAGACAGACTAAAATCCTCAAAGGAATCTCAAAGTTGTTGCTAACATGCCAACATAGTCATTTAACTCATGCAAATGAAGAGTAACAGATCGGGGAAGGTGATGTGGGAGCCCCCTCCCCTCCATATGCTGTGATTACCATTAATGAATAAAGAAACTGCCTTGGCCTGTTGATAGGGCAGAACTTAGGTAGCAGGGAGGACAGAACTGAATGCTGGGAGAAAGAAGGGAAGAGTCATATAGACACCATGGAGCCGCTGGAGACAGACATGCTGAAACTTTAACCAGTAAGCCACTGTCATGTGGTGATACACAGACTATTAGA